AACAAAATAGTTCTTAAAAAAAAAAAAAAAAAAAAGATGGGACCAGCAGATGGAGTAATGGTTAAATTGCTGGACTCCCATGTAGTCAACTGTACTTCAAGTCCCAAACCTGGTGGCTTAAAACTCACACTGGGTATGTGTGCATGTGTGCCCAAAATCCAGAGAGGAGAATGAAGAAGGGATTGTGGCATAGCCATTCCCACTGTGGGGTGATTTCTTGCTTTCTGTCTCTCTGTCTCTGTCTCTCCGGTGAGCACAAGCACCCTATGGCAAAAATCTCTCTAAAAAAACAAAAGCAAACAAACAGAAAAAGAAAAACTGGCTAAGTGTGTGTAAGTGAATGTGTGTGTACATGTGTTTGTGTATGTGCATGTGCCCAAAATCCCAAAAGGAAGCAGAAACAGTGAAGTAGCTGTAGCATTGACTACCTTTGGGAGACCTTTCTTACTTTTCCTTTCTCTCTATTTCTGGCTAGTACGTGTGCCCTCTGGCAAATTAAAAAAAAAAAAAAAAGAAAATGCACAGGCAGAGAGGTTACAGAATTTGGAATCAATTTCTGGCTCTGTTTGCTATGACTTTGGGTAAATAAGTTAACCTCTTTGTGCCTTGGTTTCCTTATCGGTAAAAAGGGAATAGTAATACCTACCTCACAGGAATGTTAAGATTAAATGAAATTAAGCTTATATAGTTCTTAAGTACAGTGCCTGTAACACAGTATATAGCTGTTTATTATTAAGTGTTATGACTAATTAGAAATTAAAAATCTTGGGACCAGCAGTTGATATAATTGGCTATGTCGCTGGACTCCCATGTAGTTGACCGCGGTTCGAGTCCTGGTTTAAACTCACGCCAGGAGCATGTGTGTGCGAGCCCAAGATCCCAAGAGGAGGATGGAGAAGGGACTGCAGCATGGCCATCCCCCCTGGGGGTGATTTTTCGCTTTCTGTCTGTCTCTTTCTGGCGAGCACATGCGCCCTATAGCAAAAACTTCTTCTCCCGCCCCCAGAAAAATAAAGGAATGAGGAATCTTTTGTCTGTATCTTGAGAGGATAACTGGAGGGTATAAAACAGAGAGAGTGGAGAAGCATGCAGTGGGTAGAAGTGGCACATCTTATGTTCAGTCTTCCCTTTAACTTTGCATTCAAGGTCACCGGTCTGACCAATCCTCTTGTCTCTGATGCCCTGCCACCAGGATAAGAAAACCTGACTGCGAAAGATGACAGATACTTCCCTATCATCATGCAGAGGACTCTGCTTTTTATAAAATGAAGGCTTCCTCTGTGTAGTCGACAAAAAAATTAGTCAAAAACAACACACAGGCCTCTTTGCATTGGTACCCAATCTTTTTTTTTTTTTTAAAGAATCATTTTATTTAACTTATTTATTAATTTATGTAAATTTGACCAGAGAGGGACAGAGAGAGAGAGAGAAAGTGAGAAAGCAAGCTGCCAGGTCTGGGATTCAGATCATGGTTGACCATGTGGGAGTCCAGTGCCCTTTACCACACCACCTGCCGGCTCCAGATTGGTACTTAATCTTACTCATCAGTGTTTAAGTAGCTAACTGGGTAGGAAATCCCTAGATTAAACAATAAGCTCTTTTTAAAAAATAATTATTTTTATCTTTATTATTTTATTTTATTTTAATTAGGCCAGAGAGGAAGAGAGAGAGAAAGACTGAGAGAGAGAGAGAGAGAGAGAGAGAGAGAGAAAAAGAGAGAAAGCACAAAAGCCACCAGGTCTGAAAAAAAAAGCCCTTGTGGGGCCCCCGCCCCCTCACCCCCCCCCCCCCCCTGCCAGGCCCAATAAGCTCTTTTTTTAAGTTTTTTTTTTTTTAACTTTATTTATTTATTTTAATTTGACCAGAGGGGGACAGAGTGAGAGCGAGAATGAGAGAGAGGGAAAGTGAGAAAGCAAGCCACCAGGTCCAGGGCTAGAACCGGGGTCAGCCATGTGGGAGTCCAACACCCTTAACCACACCACCTGCCAGTCCCAGAAATCCCTAGATTTCCCTAGATTAAACACTCAGTTCCTTTGTGATAAATAAGTACCATGTAGTAAAAGTGGGACCCCTAGGACAGGCTTAATCTTGGCCTGGAACAGGGGCATTGTGGGTTTCCCAAAGGGTATGTTTTTTTCTGAGAGGGTAGTGAAAAGTTCCTCTTTATCTGGAGACAGGAATAGCCTAATGGTATAATGCTGGGACTAACTCAGGTGGGAGGAGTGGAGGAAGGCTGGTATATGTCTATTAAGGGATGTATAGGGTCCATCGGGGGACCCTTTGAGCAGATCTTACCAAGAAGTCGGATGGAAGAACAAAACTTTTTTTTTTTTTTAGGAGATTTTTGCTATAGGGCGTGTGTGCTCACTGAAGAGACAGAGAAAGAGAGACAGAGAGAAAGTGAGAAATAACCCCCCAGGGGGATGGCCATACCACAATCCCTTCTCCTCCATTCTCCTCTTGGGATTTTGGGCACACATGCTTTAGCATGATTTTTAAGCAGCCAGGTCCAGGACTCGAACCGCAGTCCACTAAGTGGGAGTCTAGCGATGTAACCATTATGGCATCTGGTGGTCCCAAACAGAACTTCTTTGACAGATTTAGAAAGAGGACACAGAGTGTCCATTGAAGATCTATATAAGATCATCCTTTACCATCTTAATCTTGTGCTTTTATACTTTCCCGGTCACCTCTTCCCCCGCCCCAAAACAACTTTAGGTTTAGCACCCACCTACACTTAATTTCCTTCACCTATGTCCTCCAATTTACATGGAATATCCATTCTCCATTTCTTGCTCTCAAACAGTTTGCCTTTTAAGGCCTAAGTCAATGGTCTCTACTGCAAAGCCTCCCCCAACTTTGTGTTTAATAGTTACACAAAATCATTTATGCATTCATTCACCCAACAAATATTTATTAAACCTCAATTATATATGAGGCATGGTTAGACATCATGAATATAATGATGATCTAATATTTACCTATTGCTACTAAAAATTCTTCCATGGCTCCCTATAAAGTTTTACATGGCCAAAGGCATCCTCAATTATCTGGCCCCTGCTTAGTTTTGAAGGTCTGCATCCATCCCCTTTCCATTTTACCTTTCATCTGTACCCAAGTATTTAGAATTCACTTAATATGGCTCTCTCAGGTCTTTAGTCCTTTCTCTGTGCTGTTTCCTTCTTGTTTCGTTGGTGAACTCCAATCATCCTTTAACTGTCGGTTCTGCAAACATTTCCTGTGTGAAATATCCTTTAAGTGATTTCCCCCATTCTTATTCCAAATCTAAGGCTAGCAGGTACTTCCTCCTTTGTGGCTCCATAACATATCACTTTTAATTTACTCATATATTTTACTGCAAGTTTGTTGTTTGCATACTTTTCCTCATCAGATTGTCTTTACAGCATAAGTTTTTATAACAGAGGCCTTATTCTATCCATTTTGGTGATTCCAGTCACCATCATAAAGCCCAATACATAGATGATGCTTAATAAATGTTGGTTGATTAAGCAAATGAATTAATAACATTAATACATTTATTTGGTTGAACAAATTGTCTTTTTTTTTAGAGGTTTTTGCTATAAGGCGCGTGCACTCGCCAGAGAGAGAGAGAGACAGAGAGATAGAAAGCGAGATATCACCCCCCCAGGGGGGATGGCCATACCGCAATCCCTTCTCCTTCATTCTCCTCTCGGGATCTTGGGCACGCATGCACACGTGCCCGGCGTGAGTTCAAGCCACCGGGTCCGGGATGCAAACGGCGGTCAATTTTATGTGGGAGTCCAGCGACATAGCCATTACGCTAACTGCTGTTCCCTAAATTGTGTGTCTTAATAAAGCTATTAAGTGACAGGATAGTGAAGTTGAATAGATACTGTCCCTACTTCAGAGGGCATGTACGCTTGCCAGAGAGACAGCGAAACAATGAGAGGAAAAGTGAGAAATCACTCCACAATGGGGGATAGCCATGCCAGTCTTCCCTTCTTCATTTTCCTCCTGGGATTTTGGGCATGCATGCACACATGCCAGCGTGATTTTCTTTTCTTTCTTTCTTTCTTTTTTTTTTTTAAGAATTATTTTATTATTTTATTTTTACCAGAGAGGGACAGAGTGAAATAGAAAGTGAGAAAGCAAGCTGCCAAGTCCAGGACTTGAACCACAGCTGGCCATGTGGGAGTCCAGCACCCCTAACCGCCACACCACTGCCAGCCCTCCAGCATGAGTCTCAAGCTTCCAAGTCTGGGACTTCAACCGCAGTAGGCCATGTGGGAATCTAGCACCATAACATGCCACCTGCTGGTCTCTTACTCCATAATTTTAACTATTGTAATTGTTGGTCTTGGAGGATGAATTTCTAACCCCACGTAGGAAAAGAAATGGCTAAGAAGTAGCCCTTCTAACCCTCCACTCTTTATTCTCCTTACTTGTTTCTTCACATGTATCCCTTTTTTTGTCCTGAAAGGGATTTTGATATCCCAAAAGACATAAGTTGAAGAAGGCCATCTCAGCAGCTCCTGGTCCTCTTCTGGAATGTCCAGGCTGGAGCCCCAGACTCTGCTGTTTGGTAACCATGGTGATACCCTGAAGAATTACCATGACTAATACTCCCTTTGTCTAATGAGGCACATGATTTATGGGTTCACAGTGGAGTTGGAGTAGGAATGGGCTAAATAACTTCAGGAATGGAGTAATTTAAGTACCCCTTTTCTTGACTCAGTATTATGCTGTAAGCTTCAGAAGTGAGTAGAAAAAAGCACTGACTGCATCTCAAACCTTAGTTTTGACTTTCTAGGTAATTGACTTTGAATAGATTAAGTCTTTCTTTTTTTTTTTTTTTTAATATGTTATAGAGTTATAGAGCTCATGTACTTGCAAGGTGAGGCAGGGGAGAGAAAGAGAAGGAAAGTGAAAAAGCACTCCTTAGGGGACAGACATGCCACAATCCCTTCTCCATTCTCCTCTCTGGATTTTGGGTGTGTCTGTACATGTGCCAGCATGTTTTTCTAGCCTCTGGGTCCAGGACTCAAAACTATGCAGTTGGTCATGGGAGATCCAGCTGCCTCAACCATCATGCCAAAAGTCAACATTAAGCCTCAATTCTTTTTCTTAAATAGATTTTTACTATAAGGTGTGTGTACTCGCCAGAAAGAGACAGAAAGCAAGAAATGGGGATGGCCATCCTGCAATCACTTCTTCATTCTTCTCTTGGGATCTTGGGGGCACATGCACCCAGCATGAGCCTGAAGTGGCCAGGTCCAGGCCTCAAACCGTGGTCGACGTACATGGGAGTCCAGCAATGTAACTATTATGCTATCTGCTGGCCTCAGCCTCAATTTTGAAATTTTTAAAAGATTTTTAATTAATTAATTAATTATATTTGTTATTATTATGTTTATTTTTAAAAATTTTACCTGAGAAAGACTGGGGGAGGGGTAGAGGAGAAAGCAGGCCTCCAGGTCTGGGACTTGAACCAGGGTCAGCCATAGGGGAGTCCAGTACCTTAACCACTAATCCACCTGCTGGCCCCAATTTTAAAAAATACCAACAATGGGACCAGCAGATGGTGTCATCGTTATGTCGCTGGAATCTCATGTAGTCGACTGCAGTTCAAGGCCTGGACCCAGCGGCTTAAAACTCACAGCGGGAAAGCGTGCAGGTGCCCAAGATCCTGAGAGGAGAATGGAGGAGAAGGGACTGGAGCATGCCCAAGGCCCTGGGGGTGATTTCTTGCTTTCTATCTCTCTCTGCCTATCCACCATTGGAGACAGTCCACTCCTACCTCTTAGGAGTATACTTATACTTTCATTTTCCCCTGCTTTGTACTTTGGTTGTACCTTGCTATAAAGCTTTGTTGTTTCACTATATTTCTGTGTTTTGGCTGGATTCTTTCTTCCAAGAACACCAGAACCCTGGTCCTTGTCTCCGTGCTAACACCTCCAGCAATTAAAAACAAACAAATGGGCTGGCGTGGTAGTTGGGATGCTAGATTCCCACATGGTTGACCGTGGTTTGAGTCCTGGATCTGGTGGCTTGCTTTCTCTCCCTGAAGAAGAGTTATAATAAATAAAGTAAAAAATTCTTTAAAACAAATTAAAAAAACTAATATCTTACAGTTATGAGAATTAAGTGAAATAATACATACAAATCTCCTTAGTACAGTGTTCAGGACATAATGGAACCTTAATAAATGATATTTATGAATATGATACTTCCAGTGAGTCTTCAAGTTATTTTAGCAGTGGTGTCCCAGTCCATACTGACTTTCAAGAACTTGTTAATTTTTCATGTAATTTTGCAAGCTGCTTTTTGAAAAAGATTCAATTTTATTTATTATTATTATTTTTTAATTTGACTAGAGAGACAGAGAAATAAGCCACAAGGTCTGGGACTCAAACAATGGTTAGCCATGTGGGAGTCCAGCACTATAACCACCACACCACCTGCCAGTCCCTACAAGCTGCTTATTAACCAAGCCATTATTAAAAATGAAGTAGTTAGATTTATAATTGAATTAGTTATATTAAAAATAAAGGGGCCAGCAGGTGGTGTGGGAGGTAAGATGGCTGGATCCCACATGGCCGACTGTCTGGTTTGAGCCCCAGACCTGATAGCTTGAAAATCATGCTGAGAGCATGTGTATATGTGCCCAAAAACCAGAGAGAATGGAAGAGAGGAGACTGCAGCTTGGCCAAACCCCTTGGGGTGTGATTTCTTTTTTTGTTTGTTTGTTTCTTTTTCTATTTCCATTTGACCAGAGAGGGAGAGTGAGAGCTGGAGAGAGAGAGAGAGAAAGAAAGTGAGGAAGCAACTCTGTCGCCAGGTCCGGGACTTGAACTGGGGTCAGCCATGTGGGAATCCAATGCCCTTAACCACCACACCACCTGCTGGCCCCTAGGGTGTGATTTCTTAGCCCAAACCTCCTCTTCCCCAGTGAGTGCATGTATGCAATAGCAAAACTAACAAAATAAAAAATAAATAAAATTTAAAATATAAGGCTGGCCCCATGACATGGTGGTTGGAGGAGTTGGATTCCATATGGCCAACTGCACAGTTAAAACCCCACCCCTTGCAGCTTGAAAAACACATCAGGTGTGTACTTATACATGCACACATGTGGGCCCAAGATCCCAATAGGATGGAGAAATGGAGAAGGGATTGTGGCAAGACCATGCCCTATAGTGTAGTGCTTTCTTCCCCTGCTTCCTTGGTGAGTACACATGCTTCTGGCAATAGATCAAAGTAGTAAATATTAAAAACTCATCTCTTCTTATTTTACTACAGTTCACTGTTATCTATGCCCACGAGTTTATTTCTATTGTATCTGGATATTCTTTTTTTAGATTTACTATATGGTGTATGTGCTGGCTGGGGAGATACACACACACACACACACACACACACAGAGAGCGAGAGCGAGAGAAAGTGAGAAAGCACAAGGTCTGGACTCGAACTATCCAGTTGGCCATGTGAGATCCAGCTGCCTTAACTTCCACTGGCTAGCCCATCCTACTCTTTATTTATTATTCTTTATTCACTTTGCTTTTTAGTTTGGAAAGTTTCTGTTGACATTATCTTCTTTTTCTAAAGAATAATCTCTTGGGACCAGTGGACAGTGTAATGGTTACATTGTTGGACTCACACATAGTCATGGTTCAAGCCTCAGATCTGGCAGCTTAAAACTCATGCTGGGTGAATGTGTGTGCCTGCCCAAAATCTTGAGAGGGGAATGGAGGAAAAAGGACTGCACCATTGCCATCGTGTGACTTTTTGCTTTCTGTCTCTGTTGAGTGCACACGCCCTATAGCAAAAATCTCTGTAGAAAAAATAAGTATGACTTATTTATTATTATTATTATTTTAAAATTTGCTATAGGGCATCTGTGCTCACCAGAGAAAGATGGAAAGAGAGAGAAGGAAAGTGAGAAAGCAAGTCGCCAGGTCTGGGATGCAAACTGCAGCTGGCCAGGTAGAAGTCTAGCGCCTCAACCACCGTAACATATGCTGTCCCCAACATATTTTTGAGATAACTTATTCTTTCCTTAGTCATGTTCAGTTTAACTAATTCTTCATTTCTGTTACGGTGTCTTTTATTTCTAGCATTTCCTCTTGACTTTCTTAAGATTTTATCTTTTTGCTTCCATTACCCATCTGTTCTTGCATGTTGTTCACCTTTTCCATTACACTCTTTAGCATATTAATCATAGTGATTTTATTATTTTTTAGTTTAATTGTTGCTACAGGGTATATGAGAGAGAGAGAGAGAGAGAGAGAAGGTACTTCCAAGAAGGCCTGGTCACTCTGAAATTCTTTTTATTCCATCCTGCCAGGATCCTGAGCCTGCATACCTAGAGTTTTTCAACTGAACTGAGACTTGAACCTTGGTAGGTCATATAGGATCTGGCTTCCTCTGATTAGGCCTTAGCTACTGTATAATGGGGGCCAGCTCCAGAGACTCTTCTTTTTTTTTTTTTTTTTTTTTTTGTGAGAGGTTTTTGCCACAGAGCACATGCACTCACCAGAAAGACAGAGAGAGACAGAGAGACAGAAAACGAGAAATCACCCCCCAGGGAGGATGGCCACGCCACAATCCCTTTTCCTCCATTCTCCTCTCAGGATCTTGAGCACCCACGCGCACGTGTGGTGACTTTAAGCCACCGGGTTAAACTCACCATTGTGAGTTTAAGCCACCGGGTCTGGGACTCGAACCACGATCAGCTACATGGGAGTTCAGCAACATAGCCATTACGTCAACTGCTGGGTCCCATCATCTCTTTTCTTATATCACAGTATTTTGGGGGGAAAAAGTGTTTTCATTGATTCTTGGACAAATGGAACCCGAGAAGTTGAATAAATCAATATTTTAGTAAATGATGATGAGTTTGAATGCAAATTTAAAAGGATAGCACTCCCCAGCTCCAAGTCTTTCAATGGATTCCCATTACTCTGAAGATAGAGGCCAAAACGCTTCATTTGGCATGATAGCTCCTGATTAATTATATTGACCCTGCTCTATGTCCACCGCATCTCCTGCCATCCTCACTCTTTATATTCACACGCTGTTCATGTTAGCCTTTCTACAATATTTAAAATCTATCATGCTCTGTTCTGTTTCAGGGACTTTATGAATCCTACCTTCCTTCCTACAACATTAATCTTCGGAACCTCTTTACTTATTAAACTTGTCAGTTAACTCTCAACTCAAACTTCAGTTCCATAAGGTACCCTGCCATGACTCACATACTTTTAAGTCTCATGTGTTCTGTTTTTCAATTGCTGATATTCTATAATTTTCCTTCAAAGTACAAGCTGGTCATTAATGATTTTTTTGATTATTTGAAAAGAAATATATATTTGCACACACACACGCACACACACACACACACACACACACACACATCTCTCCGGACTGCAGTCGGAGCGAGCGCGGTGCAGCCGGAGCGGCGCTCGGGGGGAGGGGGGAGCGGGCGGAAAAGCCAGAGACTCCTCTTTACACAGGGTCTGAGCTTTACAGTTCTTTCCATTGTAACTCCCTATTATTACACAGG